TCCGCACGACATCGTTTTTCTTGTTTAATTTTCGTCCAAGACTTGTCTCGCTTTCTTTGTTTTCTTTCATGGGAACTGCCATTAAGCAATTGCCGTAAAGTAATCTAAGCTAATACCCTATCTATGTCAAGTAGGCCGATGTCAATCGCCGTATTTTAGTACTTTGATTTTTGTTTTAATTGATGATTAATTACTATATTTATTGCTTTCTCGTTAAGCCTTGGGCTTTACTTAAAGACTCATCATTTGAAAGATAGTCTACATTGTTTTTTTATTTTTATTATGGCAGATCTCTCATAGGGGCTCAACGTCAGCCCATGGAGCCAGTTCCGTTGTTCATGGGTCTGGACCACTAGGCTGACCCAGACTCTCTAGAATTTGCTGAAAGGTTTGTCCTACAACGAAATGTTTGGTGCGGCCCTGAACTTGATGAACTTGATGCGGTGTTTGTTACGGCTTTCACGTAAGATATGGGTAGGTTTTGACACTATAAATAAGAGTTTTTTTTAATTTATTATATATATTTTTTAAATTAAAAATATAAATTCGTGATAAGTAACAATAAAATAGATACAGATTTTTATTGATGTGGGATTAAGATTATCAACGAGTAAAATGCCAGATAATTTTAAAATACTTAAATCTTAACCCTATAAAAAATAAAATATTTGAACTCTATTAACTATTTGAATATTTTTAAAAATTATTACTCTAACCCTAACCCTAATAAATTCTCACTACCTTATAATTATTTTAACTTATTTAAAAACTCGATTATATAAAAAAATTATTAAAATTCTATTTATGGATATTCAATTATCCGAACCCGAATTCATACTCATATCCCTAGATAATAATATTTCTTTTACATATTTCATATAATTTATTAATAATTAAATTTATAAAAATATAAAAATAATAAAATTTAAATTTAAATAATCAAAAATAAATATCTCAAACATAATTAATAATTTTATAAGTTATAATTTTTATAATGTTAACATAAAATAAAAAGTAAATATGTTTATATTTAGTGTATATATATTAAAAATATTTTAATATATATATATAATAGTAATTATTTGTCTTATAAATATACTCAATGTATATAAAGTATATATATTAAAAGATATTACAAGTCAATTAATAATCATAATTTTATTAGTGAATTTAATTAACGATATAGATTTGTCCTTAATTACATGAAATTAAAAAAAAACTGGATTTCAAATCTTACGACTTTCTTTTAGATTTATATATTATAAATTTATATAAATAAAGGTATATATATTGTAATTAATAATTTTATAAGTTATAATTTTTATAATATTAACACAAAATAGAAAATAAATATGTTTATATTTAAAATACATATATATATATATACTAAACATATTTTAATATATAACACTAATTATATTCCTTATGAATGAATCTAATATATATAAAGTGTATTTATTAAAAGACATTATAAGTTAATTAATAATTATAATTTTATGAATTAATTTAATTAATTATATGGGTTTGATCTTAATTAATTACATGAAATTAAAAAAAATAACTAAGTTTCAAAACTATTCTAATCTCACAACTTCTCTTTAAGTTTATATATTATAAGTTTATATAAATAAAAGTATATATATAGTATAATTAATAATTTTATAAGTTATCATTTTTATAGTGTTAACACAAAATAAAAAGTAAATATGTTTATATTTAAAGTATTTATATAGTAAAAATATTTTAGTATATATATAATAATAATTATATTTCTATAAATTAACACAATATATAAACTATATATATTAAAAGACATTACAAGTTAATTAATAATTATAGTTTCATGAATTAATTTAATTAACTATATGAATTTATCCTTAATTTCATGAAATTAAAAAAATAATTAAGTTCCAAAACTATTCTAATATCAAAAGCTCTCTTTAAGTACATATATTATAAATTTATATAAATAATGGTGTCTATATTATATTAATATTATCACATTAATAATTAGAGTAACCATACTTTTCATATATTTGTTAGTTTTTAACAAAAAAAATTACTGGTAAAGTTAATAAAAATTATATATTTTAAATTTAATTAGTAAAATAATAATAAAATATTTATAAATGATAATCAAGTTCAGGTAGTAGGTACCCAATGAGTGGTACCTAAACCCTACTTGAACCTGGTATGAGCAGTGAAATCAGAATACTAACTCATTTTAAACTTAATTATAAAGTATTTTAACCCTATATAACTAGATCGGGTATTCGTGAATACCTAGTAACAGAGTACTTATTACCATCAATAAACGATAAGGTAAATTTTTAATTTATAAATAAATTCATTTATTAAATGTATTTTTTGGATTAGAAATATGAACCAATATGTGCATATTGCTTGAAACTTGTATAGATAATCATGATACTAGAGATAAATATCACATGCAGTAGAAGATTTGGCAGGTTTGGTCACCGCATTTATTCAAACAATGACGAGGAAGAATGGAAAAATAGAGGCGGAAGCTACCTTGAACTTACATGGGAATACATACAATTCTCTTATTATGAAACTTCTCCCATTGTTTTTGGTCTATTTTTCTCATACCAAAATAGTGAAAGAATGGACTGCAGTTAATTCTTGTTTGATCGATTGCTATCTTCAAAACCATCAACTTTGACAGCGAAAGCATTCCAAAAGTTGACCTTTTGTGGTGCAAGAAATTCTCTAATTAGTTCATTTACCAGTTATAATCAAATCATGTCCTTGCGCAAAAAGCTTGCGGCGCAAATGCCTATTTGTATAACGTATAACCATGGTGCCCAGTGCTCCAATTCCATGCGAATGTGCTAATTAATGGAAAGCCTAAAAGGTTAAACAACCCAATTTGCAGGTATGATTACATTAATCTAGTAATTAATTAAGCTCCCCTATTTGAGGAGTGAGGAGTGGCTTGTCTTCTTTTACAAGCAATAATTATATATTTATGATAGCAAAGCTCGCTTTTCTAACCGCATTTTCTATAAAAAAAGGTTGTTATATGTTAAGTGATCCTGTGCTAGAGTGCGATTTTATTTCACCGATATGGACTAATACCAATTAAAGTTAGTTACGTGTCCGTGAATTGGAAAAGATCCCTAAGTTTCAAGAATAGTTTTAAAAAAATCATGACCTAATTTTGATAGACATAATTCTTAATCAATTAAGTACACGTCTAAAATAAATTATCATCCTATACAGATCCAACGTGGTCATAAGCTAAACATTTTTAGCACACCTAATGAATGCTCAAGGACCACGCATTGAGTATCTTTCGAGAATATATTTAATATATAGTAGTAGCTAAATAACTTAAAAGATATATCAATTAGGGTGAGCAAACTATCAACAATCACATGGATGGTTTTAATGTTGTGAGTTTAAATCAATTGTAAAGTTATTTTATAATCAAAAGGTTAGACCATAGGACTAACTTTTAAATAGATTTTAAATTAGGCACATTATATATATATACTATTAATTTGCTAATTTATTTTTCCTTATTATTTCAGATCATGGATAAATAAATTTGTTGGAGGCTGGTATTTTGTCTTTATTTTATTCTATATTATTTTAATTATCTATATTTTTTAAAACAATAAAAGCTAGCATCCATCTTAAATCGGATGGCAAGATTGATCTTAGGACTAAGATCAGTCTCAAAGGATTATATATATATATATATATATATGGACAAGACCGATCTTAAATGAGTGGTTCATAATGTCAATTACTAATAAAGGGGGGGTTTCTAATTCCACATATTGGTAAGTACACAGGCCAGTGGTTATTAATTTCTCCTTTCTAGGCTCCACATATTAATTAGGTATCTCTCTTACTCTCTCCTAATGTTTACCAGATAATGGCTTTTAGATTTTCATTCAGTTTGCACTAAGCTCAAATGGTTTACTATGGTCTCTACTCGTTATATGGTCAAATGCTAGAGGAGCAGCATATTATTCTGCATATGATGTGACAATTTTAAGTAATGTAAATGGAAGTAATTAGCTCCTCATGTTGTGTTTTTCCTGGTTTGCCAATTAGGATTGGTATGTTGTTTTTTCCACCTGTATTCTTTGTCAAGGTTGCAGTGGCTATGGTTTATACATAGAGTTAAAAAAGAAAGCACCTGTCACCTGTATAAGGCTTTTGTCAAACTGAAAATGCACTGTCTATGAATTTGTCTGATAACGTGATATATATATTATGTGGTCATGGCTTTTGCTGTCTTGCGCAATGATCATCGATGACTAAGCTGGCCAATTGTACCTAAGATCCATGCATGTGCTGATCACATCACCTAGCACTGACCTGGGGCCTTCAACCTAAATTAGCCTGAACAAGTTGCCTCAATTAGAAATCAGTGTTGCTTGGTAACCTTGCTCCCCAAGGATGAATCCCTTAATTTTTATTTGTTTTACTCTCGAATTTAATAGTACTACCCCATATCTATATGCAAACTTTGAAGCGCATTGTCCTGAGTTTGTGCTGCTTCCATAATCTTCTCTTATCAGTGAGTACTGAGAGTTCTTTCTCTCTGCTTAATAAAAGATCCACTTGTCATAAGCCGACAACATCAAAAACACATTGGTTTTGCATTTACTAGCTTAAACCATAAGCAAATGACGCTCAGCTAAAAAGATGATCGAATTTTTTTAGGCCATGTTATCTCCTCTAAAGGACAGCGGATCAAAAAGAATTGCCAAGTGTTGGTCGCTATGTCAACTCACCTGCCGAAAGGGGATACTAATATAAATTCTTCTGAATTTATTTGAAGCAGTCAAGTTATAAATATATGCTTGGCAATGGGGTTTAGTCCAAACATAACAGTGCAGCCAAATAGGAAACAAAGAAAGTGGGAGCTTATTAGGAAACAACTCTCCTTTTATTGTAGAATCAAAAGCCATTTTCTACCAACAACCTGAGTCCTCTCATTCTTGTGAAAAATTTCACTCAACATGGCAAAGGAAGCCGCTGGCAAATTGGAATGGAGGACAAATGTACCAGATGAGACATCGAAGAAACTAGAGCCAGACTCTGGCCTCGTGGGCAAAACATGGCTAAGATTAAAATGTGTTATGGGAGGACTAGTTATGAAAGTTTGGGGTTTCTTGGAGAAGGCATGGAATTTAGCAGTTGCGGAGCCTAGAAAGGTCATCCATTGTGCCAAAGTAGGGCTGGCACTTTCCATTGTGTCACTTTTCTACTACATAAGGCCTTTGTATGATAATTTTGGAGGAAATGCCATGTGGGCAGTGATGACCGTTGTGGTTGTTTTCGAATACACTGTAGGTTAGTCTTCGACGCCTCTTCACTTTTCAGTGACTTACTTGAGACTTCTTCATGTTTTAAGTTATTGATTTCGATCACTTATTTCCCATTTCCATTGCAGGCGCCACATTGTCTAAATGCATTAACAGAGCAGCAGGAACTTTACTTGCGGGAGCACTTGGTGTTGGTATCTACTGGGTGGCCGATCAGTCAGGAGATGAGTTGAAACCCATTGTCCTTGGGGTCTCAGTTTTTTTCTTTGGTAAGTGGAAAAGCCTTCCCGAGAAACTAAATTCCCTACCTAGGACATTCATGACATTCTCAATTCAAAGTCCCAATATCATTATTGTTGTTATTTCTTACATACAGCTTCAGCTGCAACTTTCTCAAGGTTCATTCCATTGGTTAAAGCCCGTTTTGATTATGGCGCTATGATCTTCATCCTCACCTTCAGCTTGGTATCAGTGTCTGGCTACCGCATGGTAGAGTTGTTAAAGTTGGCTCAAGATAGGTTATCCACAATTGCCATTGGAGCTTCCTTGTGCATCCTTGTAACCATGCTCTTCTGTCCCATCTGGGCGGGTTGTGAGCTTCACCGCCTGATTCATCAAAACATGGAAAAGCTCGTGGACTCCTTGGATGGTACGTAAACGCACACACAGTTGCTAACGAGATTATCTAGAACAAAATTTAAGATACTCGCGGAGTAATTCTTTTTTCCAATCTAATTACTGTAGGATGTGTGGCTCATTACTTCAAGGACAGCGGAAATTTGACTATTAGTGAGGAGAATCTCAACAAGAAGATACAAGGATATAAATGTGTACTTAATTCCAAGGCAACGGAGGAATCTATGGTAGAACGTTGATTCATTCAATGAAAACATGTCTTTTAAGGGGATTAATTTCGTTTGGTTGAACACTCAATATCTTTCTTTTTGATCACTTTCACAGTGCAATTTTGCGAGATGGGAACCAACACATGGCCGGTTCAACTTTGGACACCCATGGAAACAATACCTCAAGATTGGGGCTTCACTGCGCCGGTGCGCTTACTGCATTGAGACTCTTAATAGTTGCGTCGGCTCAGAAATTGAGGTAAAGACGAAAAAGCTTGACTCTGTATAAAAAGTTGGATCAATTTAGATATATAGATAAAGCCATTACAGAAATTTGGTGTATTTAAGTTTAAACTATTGATTGTAAGATATGGATGCAGGCACCTCCATGCATAAGGAAGCATCTTAGTGATAAGTGCTTGAAAGTCGGCTCCTATTCTACTAATGTCTTGAAGGAATTGGCAATAACAATCTTGAATATGAAAAAATCGTCCAAGATAGAACTCATAGTTGCAGAGATGAACTTCGCAGTCCAAGAACTTCGGGATGCCTTGAAATCTTTGCCTAGCCACCTTCTTGCACCCCCATCATCAACAGGGGAAGAATCAACCGAAGGCAGATCAGTGCCCATCAAAAAAGCCGACGTACTACCTCCGATCATGAAGGCTCTTCCACTGATCACGGTAGTGTCCTTGTTGGAAGAAATTGCTGCAAGAATAGGAGGGGTTGCTGATGCAGTGGAAGAGCTGGCGAGCCTTGCAGAATTCAAGCCAGCAAAGGATCGGAAACCCAAGCAAAACCTACCTACTAACAAACCTATTTCAGATAACCTTAATCGTCAAACCATATAAAGGACCAACCCAGAAGTTTGACTTGATTGTAATTACCTTGACAGAAAGTTGATAATGAGTGTTGTTGTGTTTTACCTTGTAAAGACGCTTTTAATAGGTTTAAAGGTTAGTTTTATTACCTTATAATGTTTATGGTTAAGTTGATCATACTCTCTCAATGAAGATTAACTATGTACTTATGGGCTAGGCTAATACAATAAGCCGAAAGGGACAGGTCAAACCATTGAAGAACCTGCGGCCTACGTTGTGAAAATCTTGTTCGTTGCTGGCATTATCTGTTGCATTACACCTTGCAGTGCACCAAATCTGTTCATGCGTACGCGTGGTACAAGCCGTAGTACTCTGATTATTTTCTGATTATTAGAAGTGAATTGTAGAAAATGCTGGAAAATTGTCAGTTGTCACGCCTGATATGGTTGAAAACACGCCATTCCATGCATGAAAAGAGCTAGGGACACCAAAACAGTGGGTGTGAATTTCTGATTATTTTGACAGACCATCATAGACGCCAAAAGAAATAACAAGCAGACCACAACGATTGTGGATTTGTTATAGTACATAATGACAAGCAACCGCTGCCACTGACTTCTTTTAATCCTTTAAAGTTCTTTCTGAATACACAAGTTAAACAGCTAGAAAGCAGTCTAACAGAAGATAAATAAGTTATGAGTAGAGAGACCACATTATGAGTTCAATCGAGATATCAGCAAATGCTTTATTGTGCTGGCAAATGAAGTATGTACCCAACTTCCCATGCGCAAGAAATCCATCACGTCACAATGTCACAAGTTGTCCATTAGAAGCATCAGTTTCTTCAGTCGCTTCGTCATGACGCTCCCCCCAGCCTAGGTTCACTGCCAAGTCCTCAACGGCCACCTTGATCACATCACTACGAACACCTATATCTGTAGCGTACCTGCTCATACAGTACATCCCAGCTGTAACTGTTGCCACACCTACAGGACTTGGCATCAACAGCTTCAGTGGAGAAGAGAGAAGGGCCGCCAAAGGGGCACCAATCACAGAAGAAGCTTGACCGCTTCTTCCAACCCCTAGCTTGTCCATTATCAGAAGACCAGTTTTACAATACAGTGCAAAGTCCTCACAGTTATTCTGGAATATGTCATAATTTCCAAATCCATTTTGAAGAAGATACATTGCCCGGTGGATAACTGTTTCAGGAGGGTCAGACATTGCTGTGGTGCATGTGCCTCCACGCACTTTGGCAAGGAAAACAGATGGGGTCACCCCATATTCAAAGCAGTAGAGAGATCCATTTCGAAGGAAGCAATCCAGGCATGAGAGTATTACCCCACTGTTTGGCTGACGGAAGCCACAATCAGGAAAAGTTGGACAAGTTGATCCAGGATCATATAGATCAGAAGATGTCTCAACATTGGAATCCAAGTTACGTTCAGGTCTAAAATGAACCACCTTGCTTCCACCAACAAAGATACCTTCATGATTTAATATTCAACAAAACTCATGAATGATATTGAGCTTAACCCGACCATACAAGGAACTGCTTAAGTAAAATAACCTTGACACATTAGAAGATTCCTCTAGACTATGAGGAATGGCCATAAGGTAATGAGGTAAAATAACGAAATGATCACAAACTCGATATACAAAGGATTTATACAATAACGGGGTAACTAAGGATTTTGACACTGGAATCATAATTATATTTGCTTTCTAATTCATATTAACCTGCCAATCGAAAAAGGTTGTTTCAGTCTTAAAAGTATAGGAATAAGAAGTAAGAACCAGAGAAATGCTTGGGAATCCCAATAATCAGATTAAGGGAGTAATCCCTACAAAGTGAAGGAATCTTGAGAAAGATGATATGACTCCTACAAGACATAATTCAGTTGATCGGGCCATAAAATCAGTCTTAAACCACCAACAAATTAATATCGGGGGAATCCACAAATATCAGCCAAATTTCAAGTTCTAAGCAATTAACCTATAGAACAAATAGAATGCCCCTAAAACTTTTTGGCTAAAGAGATCATGATTGGGATTGAACCTTGGGCACAATGCCACTTCCAAACAACAAGAGGGGGGAGAGAGAGACAGAGACAAATCTAATATTTTTGAAGTAGCTGAGCCATGTAGGGTTATAGCTGAAGGCTGGTAGCAGAGACAAGCTGTTCCCGTAACTTTTGCAAGCTAAGAATTGTACCCTCTTCCTAACTGCTGGACATCTTTTAGGAAATGAACCTCTTCATACTGACATGACAATTACTTGATCACCCTCAACGCCACTATCAAAGCAACTACTTGACCTCCATAACAATTACATTTTACAGAAAACTTTACACAGCTACCATGACCATACCCAAATTTTAATTCGAAAGAAAAAGTCAAAAAAGATGAACTGCCAATGATAGCATTCCAGCAGCTTTAAATATGACCACCTAAGAATGGTAAAAATTTTACATCACCATTATTTGTCTTCCAATCTTAAGAACTCCATTCATCATATTTAAAAAGGAATTAACTTTTTTTTTACACTATATCTCAGAATCAAATGGAGACTTCATATTTAAATATTAACCATCTAGCAGCATTAACTTGTAAGATTGAAAAAAATCAACTTAAAACACCTCAAACAGACAGAATATGTCAATTCCTAGACATCCAAAGCACAAACACAAGGAAAGGTATCTTAAATCTATAAAACCCTTTTCAGTTTGAAGCAAAATTCACCTATCAAAGAAAAACAGAAAAGAAGTAATCTTTACCTGTACATTACAAAGACCCAGGAATAATATTTGGCGCAAAAATAGTCGAAAAGACCCAAAAACAAGACTTGAAAGAGGGAATCAGGGCAAAGTCTCAAACAAGAGACAAATTTACCATAAAAGGAAAGTAATTGGAGCAAAAAAAAGGGTCGAACAAAAATAAAAAAAAGTCACCCAACAAAAAACTGAAACCCAGACACCAAGATAAATGCACAAATCACAATGTAAAACGTTTCCCAGTTTACATTTTCTAAAGCAAAAAAAAAAAAAACTATAATTCCCAAAGTCCAATTTCAAGTCAAAGACGGAGAGCAAAGATACCATGGTGAGAGTAGGTGAAAACAGCTCTGTAAGTGTAAACATGATCTCCTGGTTTGATCTCATTCCTCTCTACTCTGTTTGTAAGCAGACCCATTTTTCACCCTTTCACTTTTACCCCCGCCTCCCCTGCTTCTTCTTCTTCTACTCGTCTCCGCTGCTTCTTAACCTCTGATAATGGAGCTCTGCCTTGGTAAAACAAAACACAGATTACTTACTTATGGTTGACCCCACATAATTAAGCCTTGTGTTCCTAGCAGCGTGGCTTAATCTTATTGGCTCACCGAATCGTCTCCTCAACAACCGTTGCTATCGGGTCTTTTGGATTTATTTGTGTTTTTAAAAGGTCACGATCATGGTTCTTGGGATAATATTATGAGCATTGATGATGAACAATTCTCTTGCTTTTTCTTTTCTCTACCCTTTTCCTTTCCTCTCTTTCACTTTGAAAGGGTATGTTTGGAATTTAAATCCACCATCATGGGCAAAGGAATTTCATCAAGGCTAAGGATTTTGAGCATGTTTAAGGACAAAGACAACCATAGACTAAAGGGTAGCCGTTTGCCAGGGGAAAGGGCAAGGAAACGACAACCTAAAGCGCTTTGGATTCCTTGCTACATTAGGAAGTTTCGTTCATTCCTCACCTTCCTCTGCTTTTACATGGAAACTGATGCAGCATTTGCAAGAATAATTTTCCACAATGTTTTTTTTTTTTGGGTACTTAAGACCACAATGGTTTTATTAACCATACAATTCGAATACCAAATAAAATAGTATAATTCATCTTCTAGCGTTCCTTTTTCAAATTTTGTACAAGAATAAGATTTATAATACACCAAAGAACTAGATCATCTCGGCCTTAATGAATCAGAAAAACAGCTATGGATTGTGGTAATGAATCAAACGTTTCCTTTATATTAGTATTATATCCTCTCTGTAGTCTATAATTAGTAGACTCTCCAATTGTATATTAATGAATCAAATTCTGCGTTTTTCTCCAACTTGTTTCTCAATTCTGTGGCACACATGGCATCTTTGGCAAGTAACAGTGCAAAGCCCCCGCCACCAGCTCCCACAAGCTTGAAGCCAGAGCAGTAAGGGTCAGCGAATGCAAAAAGTCTGTCAACATATTCGTTGCTGCAGTAAGGATCAAGTTCTTGATGCAACCTCCAAGCCTCCAACATAATCTCCCCTAGCTTATCTACATCGCAGTTCATCAAAGCTTCCCTCCCTATCTTAGCTAATTCAGTAAGTCGCTTGATACTGGATACAAGAAGGTTGTCTCTTCGAAGATATCGAACGACTACCTTTTGTAGGACTTGATGTGCAAGTCGGACCTTCAAGATAATAATAGAACAACATTTAAGATAAAAATCTTTCAAAAATGAAGTCAATAAATAAGAAATAAGTATATAAAATTATAAAATTTGATCATCAGGTTGAAGATGCAAATACATGAAGGGTAAACTAAACTGCAAGAAAGGCTGAACTACTTACTTGACCTGTAAAGACCACAAGCAACCGCTGGTGCAATTCTGAAATCAATTGAGGAGATGCCACAAGAGGGAAGACTTGGAGCCGCAGTGGTATTCCAGGGTAACTTGCAGTAAATTTAATCCCAGGGTACAAACCTCCTATCTGATCCTGCCAGCCACCACCTGTTCCCATGAGTTGCTCTAGTACCAAGACAAGTCTGGCAACATTTTCATTGCTATCATCACCATCCATAATCTGCAGAAGTCCTTTCACAACAGCAGCTGCTAAGATGCTAGAAGTCCCCAAGCCACTGCCCCGAGGTACATTGGCCCATGTACTTATTCGCAAGCCATTAGGTACTAGAATGTTTTCATGAATAATTCCAGTCACCAGCAGTGCAGATTTGACAAGCCGAAAAGGATCATTGCCATCAAAGGGAGGAAGGATTGAAGTAAGATG